GTATGCTTGTTATACTTTTTAGGGAGGTAGCTTGTTTTGCTTGTGTTTGATTCAGAAAGTATGTGATCAGTATTGTGAGGATGGGTCAGCACTAGGATTGTGTGACTGTGATAGATGGTTTAGTAGAGTTAGTTGAGGCGTTTGGTGAACGTTGTCGTTGAATATGTATTTTTCAAATGATTATATACTTAGAGGTCGAGCCGTAGATGTAATTGTAACGACAAACTTTATCCAAGATGATTCGAACTGATCTTTATTTCAATCGAACATTTCCTTTTTATATTGGTTCGTCCTCTTCTCTTCTGTTTCGAGCACATCGATCAAAGAGAGAACAGAGAGAGAAACAGACGGACAGGGAGAAACACGAAGAAAAGAAAACAATCATTAGATGAACTGTTGTAGATGAACGCTCGATGAGACGAGATGAATAGATATAATGAACAGGAAGGAGAAGATAATGGTATATACATGAATCATGTATCTGTGCATGAAAGATTAATTGATGACTACACAAATGTTGTCACAGTGGTGTAGATAGCTTTTGTTCGTAAATTATTTGGCAACGTGTTTAGGTGATGGTTGTGACAGTGTTTTGATTTTGTCAGAAGCAATAAGCTGTTTTCATGTCTGAAATAGAAGCATTATCAACCTGCTTACTGTCGTTTTCAATCGATACACGAACGGTTTGCTCTCCTTCACCATCTCTCGATATGGTTTGCTTGGTATGAAAACATGAACCTAGGTGTAGAATTGTGTGAATGAATGTACACATGACACTGGGCATAGTACTGATGATGATAACGACGGGATGTGTGAGGGTGCAAATATTGCTATAAATTAACGAATAACAATGCTAGAGTATATTCGTTTATCAGATGTGACTGTAAAATAGTAAGCAACTTGCAGGTAAAGCTTGAAGTAGATAGGATGAGTGCAGGGACTATCGCTATAAGCTGTATCTTGTTTGCTAGGTCACTCTTGAAAGCGTTGAGAATAGCAACTAACAGACGGCATACGCACATATATGGACAGCTTACGATGAGAACAACTCGGTGCAGTGAGTTAGTGTCGATGGTCCGCCACATCGGCAAGTGTGAGCATGAGAGCGAGACGTGAGAATGAGCATACAAGCAAGCATTGTGGTTCGCACTACATCTGCCACCGCCACACTATCGTCGAAAGCCATTGTCTCGCTCTCTGCTACAATCACATATGCACACACATACGCTGACGAAGAGTTCATTGTAAGGTGTCTTTTCTGTTGGATATTGCATTCAGTAATCCTTCTTTATTCAATGATGAGTCATGCTCTGAGACCTAGTTAGCAGCGCTGGAAGCAAACACAATCGCCACAACGAAGTGCAGAGATAGATAGCTGTGGAATGACTGCTGTAAAAACATGCGTGCGAGAAAAGAGATATTCTTGAAGTATGAAGACCTGGCCAGGCATCGACATTCATGCGATATCCATACTTTCGAACTATGTCTTGTCTCGAACGAAGTGTCTAGCAGCTAGTCAGACCGCGATACGAAGGGGAGAGTGAGAAATGTTGTCTTTGAATATCAAGACCTGGGCAGGCATTGACATTCATGCGATTCGATATTCGAAGAAAATGTTTCAATCTCCGTGATTCTTAATCACAGGTGGCTGTTTCGGACTCTGTGCACGGGTGTATCTGTGTCCTGGGAATGGAAGGAAGAGCGCGAGCGAGCGAGCGGAGGAATTGGAAAGGCAGGTTGGTGATAATGTCAGTCCTAGGTGGATAGGAGTTGAACTGCGACTTAGGGGAGAGTGAGAAATATTTTCTTTGAATATCAAGACCTGGCCAGGCATTGACATTCATACGATTCGATATGCGAAGAAAATGTTTCAATCTCCGTGATCCTTAGTCGTGGTTACCCCCTGGAGGGTGGGGGTGTAGGTGTGAGGGTGTGAGGATGAGGGTGATGATTCTGCAATCATCAAAGCATTTGTTGCGACATATGTAGCAAGAAGACTAAGATCGAGCAGGGATACATCGTGAACATCGTGGTTGTTCTACGAGGCGTTTCGATCTTAGTCGTCCTCTTTTTCTCATCGAAAATTTGCGGGTCGTGAATGCATTCATAGTATGCCAAATGTCACATAAGACATGGTAGTCATCTCATTTTGTCGACCAGCTTTAATCATAGTGCTGTATTTGTTGAAACTTGTATCTAGAAATAGTTGCAGGATGTTTGAAGAAAAGATGTCGAATAAATGTTCGGCTGGTCGTGGTAGCTCTTGTGTTTCGTTCATTCCTGTACAACAGCATAGAACTACCTGATCAGGCTCTTGAGCAAAGCCCAAACCAGACATAGGAAAAGATTCTGACACGAGGAATCTAGATGAGCAATAGAAAGATCGAGCTCATACTTATGGAACCATGCTATGCGTCTGTCCAGTGTAAAGTGCACGAGCCATTGGCCTGTAGTCAAAATCATCAAGCCTCAGTTAGATATCTCAATAAAGCAGTCCGATGAACCGCCGGTCATGTTAGCTCGCATAACTTGACGCTAAAGTGTTTGAAAGACAGAAAATAGAAAAATTTAATACTCTCAACAACCTAAAAGCCATTTCATGAGACCAGTGAGCACGGTCGAAACAGGAAATAGACAAACGAAGGATACCAGCCATGGGCAACATTAAAAAAAACAGCAAGTAAGAGGATTCCTCTTGCGACAAAACAAGAATCGAAGTCAAACAAAGCCTTCAACCAACATGTTCACACCGGTTATCGGAAGATGTGGGTTCGAGTCCTGCTTTGATTTAATGATCTTTTCGAATAAGTTTCTCGTACTTATTTGAACATGTCTCTGTGGATATATCTACTGAAATGTCTTGTACGCATTCGTGAACAGATGAAATGATTGCTTGACTTGAATTGCTTTACATCGTCATTTGAAACTCACCCTATCTCGTATGACCTTGCTACGTTTTCTCNCTTTAACAACCCATCATGGTAGCTCTCGAAACTTGACACTAAAGTGTTTCAAAGGCAGAAAATGAAAAAAACTTAACAGTGTCAACAAAATAAAAGCCATCTGATGAGACCAGTGAGCACGGTCGAAACCGGAAATAGACAAACCAACGATACCAGCTGAGGGTAAGAAGGGTCCTACTGCGGTAAAAAAAGAATCGAAGTCAAACAAAGCCTTCAACCAGCATGTTCACACCGGTTATCGGAAGATGTGGGCTCGAGTCCTGCTTTGATTTAGTGATCTTTTTGGATAAGTTTTTCGTATTTATCCAAGCATGTCTCTGTGGATACATCTACTGAAATGTCTTGTATGTTTTCGTGGACACATGAAATGATTATTTTGATTGGATTCCTTTACATCGTCATTTCAAACTCACCCTATCTCGTTTGACCTTGCTACGTTTCAACAATCTCTTTTTGATGCGTTGAAATCAACTAGATGACATAGTAACTTTACTGTTCTGATATTTTTTAATATCGTGAATAGAAAGTTCTGTTTTGCTGTACCATCTGATTTCATACGTATTAAATGAAGATCTTTAAGTCCTCGTGTAGCAGTAGGAATTCATTAAAATGTATCTTATCTTCGTGTTTGTCCTGATACCTGCAGGATATTCAGCCAGATGTCTTGACATGTAGTCATTAACTGACTGAAGTGAAATTTCAAATAGTTCAATTGGTAGAATAGCCGACCGGTTATCGGAAGATGTGGGCTCGAGTCCTGCTTTGATTTCATGATCTTTTTGGATAAGTATTTCGTATTTATCCAAGCATGTCTCTGTGGATACATCTACTGCAATGTCTTGTATGTTTTCGTGGACACATGAAATGATTATTTTAATTGGATTCCTTTACACCGTCATTTCAAACTCACCCACACCCTCACCCTCACCCACCCACACCCACACACCCACACCCACACCCTCAATTTTTTTTGTCAATTTTAAGTCTCGGGTATGTTAAGTATCGGAAAAATCAGCAATTTTTTTCAATTGGAATATTATGTTTCCATAATGACGTCGTATGAGGATTCTGATACCATAACAGAGAAACATTTCGATGAAGAACCAAAATCTTCACTCTACATCTTTCAAAAACTGCAGTTTACTCTCTATTGAATACATATAGCGAACTCTACATCTTCTTAGATTTAACTTCGAATTTACTCACTATAATCTACAAGCTGAAAGTAAACAAACGCATTTGAACTTCAGATCTTTTTGTCTAGAATACATATATTACTTCTAAAATACATTCAATTTTAATTTTGCCTAAAACTTACGTTTGACTGACACATATACTTGCGAATGAGCATAGGGTTTCTGCAGAGACATCATTTCAGTGAGAGTGAACAGAAGAACTCTGAAAGCAATTGAGTATTGAAATCATTGAAAAAAAGGAACAAGCAGTTGAACAGTTGAATAGAAATTTTCAGTTTCTCACTACTAAAAGATGTAAGGATCATATTAGTTATCCATAACAGATTGTCGGCTCATGTGAACAATGATCATGAATAGTCGGTATTACGTAAACAACAAGAACGATGATAGTTCTTTGCTCAGTTTTTCAAAAACATAAAATTGATTAAGAACGTTTTGGAGATGTCATTTCTAAGGGCAAGTTTTATCTTAAGTATACGCCATTCAGTCGAGGATAATGCGAGTCTGCCTCGACGAGCGTTATTTATAATTATATGTAAACATAAATCAGAGGTATTCGGATCTTATTTTTCGCGATTGTTGCCACATACACAGCCAAGAGGTGGATCAAAACAAATTCCTGGAATATGTGAAAGAGGGCCATCAATTTCACCACGACTATAGAAATTAAGATAATGGAAATAATGAGGAGAAGAAAATTGATAAAAACATGTTGCATCACTGCGCCTTTCGAAATTTGAAGAGTATAAACTGATCCAACGCTCGTTATTATCTAGATTCCAATTCTTGTAGTTCTGTATCCAACGCCAGGAGTCGGGATCACCCTTCAATTGTCAATCACGACATCTGCCACAATTGGCACAAGGACGACCTTCGTAATGAATCTCTCTGTATGTACCAGGTTTAGCGAATCCTCCTGTTTTAAATGAAAATTCAATATATTGGAGAATAAATCAGTTTCTCACCTATTGAGTTTGAGGTTGAAGTCGCAGAATCGCCACTTTTACACTCTGATTTATGACGAGACCAGTCAGTAGTACGACATGCTATGGAACAGTAGCAAACCCGACAATATGGACAACGATTACTGGTACTTGTCAAAACTTGATTTTTTACACAGGCAGGCATGATGTTGTCTAAATAGTGTTACTGTTATCCTTATGTTTCAATCACAATTTTTCAAACAAAAAATCAAAGAGTATCTATAACTATGTAGTTTTCTTATTATGAAAAGACTCGCATCACAACATATGACTGTTTTCATTTCATGTATAGCGAAGAAAGAATTAGAAGTGGAAAAAACTCAGTAAAAAATAAATTATGATTGTTAGATTTGACATAAAATATCATACTCACCCTATTACTGCAAAATATGTAATCTGCAGTAAAATTTGAGTTAGTGAATGTGATAAATCTCCGTTTCTTTCGTTTCTAACACGTTCGACGTCGTTTTCTTTCTGTTTATGTTCTTTTCTGTTGAAAAACAAATGTTTAACTCTGACTCATTGGGTTTTTTAAATATTTTTACCCAGTTAAAAAAAATATAAACCGCAATGTAATCATAACACAAAGTTGTATTTTATCGGTGTAATATTTTTCAGAAAAAACTTCGACGTGTAAATTAGTTCTAATTCGGAGCCACTCATCAGAAATAGTTCTTCAAACACAACCAATAGTGAAACTATGGAGCCTGACCAAAACTCACGTCCATCCGATGATTTTCTTTTGGCTGCATACTACAATAGTATTGGTAGTACTCATGGTCAGATGGGTGATCATGCAAAAGCTCTTCCATATTTCTTACAAGCTCTTGAAATTCAACAGCGAATACTTCCTGACAACGATGTTAATATAGCTGTATCCTACAATAATATTGGCTCAGTGTACAACAATCTAGGCGAATCTTCAAAAGCACGTTCATTTTTTGAACGTGCTGTTAACATTGGACAGCTATCTTTACCAGCAAATGATCATGAACTTCAGAAATGGAAAAGAAATCTTGACAAGACTGATAAACCTTGAAATCAGTATGCACAGCGGTATTTTTTGATAAATGACAATAAAAGATGTAAGAAAAAGTACAAATAAGTGTAGATGATGACATTCACTTTCTAATGTTTATTGCTCTGCCGATGAATTTTTATCGAAATAAATATTATGAAAGAATTTTTAATGAATTTCAATGAGAAGTTACTACTCTCTCTCTCTCTCTCTTCACAAAACACTCCAATTAGTATACTGAATGATTTGTTATCTGTATGACTGCTCTATTCTCTACGAATTTCAAGAAAGCACTGCCTCTTATAAGTTTTTGAATGGAAATGATCACGAAAAAGACGGCGCAAGGTTTCATCTTTTCTTATCTAGCCCGATATATTTTTCAATAATCAACTATAGTGTCTAAAGTGGCGGAAACTAATTCACGTTTGATCCGTTAACTCAATGAATTAAAAGAGTTTGTTTCTCCTTGCGACTTACGTTACTTATTAATACTAGGTAATTTATACGTGTATAAATCATAATCATCTATTAATTTACTATTATAGAATGAGATCCGATTAGACTAAACCAAGTCTTTCAATCAGTTCGAAATTGTCAAAATAATACGAATGTTTTGAAAAATTTTCCTCGATTTATCGATAGTTTACCCAGGTCGAACGTTACGACAGCCGTAACCTACTGTAGACGACCGTATCACTTACCGTTTACGATCGTATCATAACGTAAACGACCGACAACAACCGTAAACTGTCGTACTAAACCAATGTTTCCTCAAGATTTCAGTCTTTCAGCGTGATTTCACCAATCTTACACCTTGATTTCACCTGATTTCATTGGTATTTATTCTCGATTTCAACGGATTCCACTAGGACCCATCCTAGTTGAAAGACAGAATAGGACTTAACTTTTCATTGTATGAAATCCATTTGAATAGCAAAGAAAACACCTCTATTTATAGGGTCGATGTGAAATACTGAAAGACGAAATCACATTCCAGAATGTTCTAGAACAAATTCTGCCTAGATTCTTAGATATGGCAGTGATATGTGAAGAAATATGTGCCTCGTTTCTGGGTTGAAATGTATTAAACCCCTCCCCGTATTAGAAGCCCCAGGGGGCTTCTAAACTGTTTGTGGTTAAAACTTTTTGAGGGGGGGCTTCTATTATGGGAGGGCTTCTAATATGACTTTTACGTAAAACTTTAAAAAAAAATAAGAAGGCTTTTATTTCAATTATCTTGACTCATGATTGTAATAAGTTTTCATCATCGCTGGATGATTCTGACAACGAATAATTAACGAGTGATGCAGGTCGAGTCGAAGAACAATNTTAGTTCTCGTTTTTATTTAGACTTTTCATCTTGAGGGTGGGTGGGTGAGGGTGTTTTTCATCTATTTTTTCGATATGGGAATATATCGCAACAACTTCGGTACGTGAAATCACGGTACGATAAAAAAGAATCCAATTACAAATCGATTCATCTTTTAGTTGATAAACAGCATGGTTTATGAGAAAAACCTATCGAGAGAATATGAACGCATTTGTTTTTGTTTATTAAACTATAATAAGTTCAACATTCCTTCTATTATTATCTGTCTTGCATTTTCACTTGAAGAGGTTCAAGCAAGAACGACTTTTGTACAAACAAGTTCACCTATTTAGACGCTATTCATCGTTAGGGGTATATAAAAACTTGATAAACGTCAATTTGATCCCATACATGTATTTCGTTAAAGATTTAGTTCTAAAATAGTTAAAATATTGATCAGATTTTAGTAAAAGACAACTACGTATCATAATCTAATGATATAGTGGAAACTCAGACGTAGATCTTTACTGCAAAAAATCTGTGGTGAGAATAAACCCTCAGAAGGATTTATCAAACTGATCAATTCCTTGAGATACGTTTTTTTCCGTTTATTAGCATCATAAATCTTTTGATATACCCTTCAACGTTTATCAGATTGCAACGTATAAAATACGTTTTTGAGTAGATCACGAGAGCAGGTATATCAAAAGGTTTATGATGCTAATAAAGGGAACAAACATATCTTAAAGAATTGACCAGTTTGATAAATCGTTGTGGAGGGTTTATTACTCACCACCGATTTTTTTTCAGTGTTTAACAAATCTTTTTTGATGAATACATTTGAGATACGTGTAATAAATACTATATGGGTTGTTTTCTCAAAATATAGATTTACAGATATAATAAATCATAATCTTTCAACTCGTAAGGCCATTTAATAACTCGCAGTATCACGGTCAATCAACTAAGCGATTCTAATAAATGAATGTTTTCCTTCAAAGTGTAATATTCATAAAGGTAGATTATTTATTTAAACATCACTGACCATAAGTATAGGCGATAAGTAGGAGTTTTCCAACTAGATAGCGCATAGTTTATCGTCGATGTCAGTATCTCGAAAAGTTTGAAAAATTGTGAAGTTATTAGACGTCTCTAGTATGCGTGAGACTCATATAAATCCATCAGTAAATGAAACAATATCGATCGAAATCAGAAAGTTTCTTGATACAGATAAGATAGACCATCTCATTCAATCTTAATATGACTATCATCAGATGGTTCAATGGAATTAGTGGACTACAGTCATAAGGTAAGCCGTTCGAATCTAACTAAAGGAATAAGAAGAAGAAATAGGAAGTGGTATCTAATCAGCTCCCCGAGGTGTGATATGATCATATAGAGATAGTAGCTGATAATGAGATAGAGGGCAGATATGATATACCACCATGATGGTGAATTACGTTTTTTTTTCGAAAATCCATTAATAACCGCGGTATTATCAAACCGCGGTTTCGACCGGTGCGAGAAAACCTAATAAAAGGTCTGACTTTCGCGGTTCAATTAAACCGCTGCACACCAACGCCCTGGTGCACCGTGATATACCGCGGTTTCGATCAAAAAATTTTTTCGTGGGCAGCGATCATTGGTTAGCAATGATTGGGATGCAGAGACATTTTCTTAGTCAAAGATTGTTGTTGATGGTTTAATCGAACCGAGCATGAGATACTGGGTGAAATATTGTATAAACTGAGCCACTAAGCAGCTATACTAATTTCTTCCTTTATCAGTAGTAAAACTCTTTTCAAATTACGTGAAATCGATTGTTAAAGTACAGAAAGAGAATTTAAATTAACTGAAATTCGTGGTTAAATTTGAGCAGTCTAATTGAAATCTATGTCTAAAATTGATTAATCAAATAGAATTCATTGTTGAATTCAATACGATTTGCAGCAAATCATGTCTAGTTGATTTACATTGGAGTAGCTAAAACTTGCTTGCATGTCTTGCTTCGCTAGTCTATTCACAAGATGCGGCCAACAAACTATCTCATGTTACATATTAAAGAAAGTCGCCTTAGATGAGGGTGAGGGTGAACATTTTTTTATCATTGGAATCGATAGGGCTTGTCGAGTTCTATCTGAAACGATCGCGATCACTATTGGAACGCATACAGAGACGAATAAATCCAGGAAAAACGCGAATCGGGCGCTAAGATATCCTACATTTTACAAATCGAGTAATATAAAGAAGAAGTTTTTACGAGTTTTATTTTCTTTAAAAATTAGTGTGGTCCGTCACATTATGACATAAAACATAACAATGTTTTCTTTGTCTCCCTCTACATCCCGTACGTGATGTACTACGCCAATTAACGATTAATTTTCCATGATTTTGCAAACAAATTTTGTCAGAGTTGTTTTTCTCAATAAAATAACGTAATGAATTGATTCGTCCCTCAAAGGATGGCAGGCAACATTTCATATCATGGTAAATTGGTTTTATTCCCGTTTCTGTCGCAATTTTATTTGTGAGCAAAGCCATGAGTTTATCCTTTTTTGTTCCATTTATAGTAATGCTATCACCTTTATCGTATGATTCAAGTAGTTGCTTAAAAATTTGAGTAAATATTGGACCACAACGTTGTGAACAATATTTACGCATTAGACCAGCAAAACATTCAAGTGTTTTACAGTTGAGAGCAACATAGCTGATGAGACTCACATCTTCCGATGAGTAATCATAATCAGGGACATGTTGTTTGTCCCCTAGAATATATGTAATATGAGTTTTTGGTTTTTCCCTCCACAATACTTACTTTGTAATTGTCCATCAATTACAGATAAAATAGTTTCTTTTGTCGGTAAATTCTGTAATCTGCTAATATTTATATCTGAATAAATCAGATAATAAAATGTTATCAACAATTCCCATCTTAAACAATCATAATCTAAACATTTTTCAATGTAATTTTCGTCGATATTACAATAATTTAACATAGTTTTCATAAAATCAGGTTTTGGTAATAGAAAACTTTTAATATAATCCATCTCAATTTTATGTTGTATAATAAGTGTTCGATTTCCATTTTTAATATTTTCTGATATTAATTGAATTGGTTTACGTAATTCGTCATAAAAATAATCGATAAAACTTCTTTCAATGTCATCAGGAACAAGCGCCATAATGTTGCTCTGATTGCTTGTACTGACAGTCATTGTCAGATATTTCGTGTCACAACCATAGACAAGGTTTTCTACAATTTGTTTTGTTTCTAAGGATTTTTTTGTATATTTCTTTGTATACTCTTGCCTAAGATATTCATAGTAAACTGGTAAAAGAACAGATGTTAAATCTCCTTTCAGATAGGCAATTATCAATGGTATACATAGATCATAGTCTTGCTGATTTATAATTACTTGTCGATTCAATAATTTTTCATATGTCTTCTCACCATATTGTTCAGCTGTTTTAAAGCCTTGTGATTCATTGATAATAAATTGACATACTTTTTCAAGTTCAATCAAAATTTGTTTTTGTCGTTTAGTATTTGCACGTTGTTGAATAATTTGAAACAATAATTTTAATATACCGACTTCCTGTTGTTTATCATATCCATAACTGTCTAAGGTATAAAGATAACCAAGCCATATACCTTCAAGAATACGTATTCGTTTCATATGTTCATCATTGATATATAATGGTATGACAGCAT